ATGTCCAACTCAAGTTTAATCTCCTTACCAGGGGTAAAGGCGCATCTACTGAAATATACTGCTGAAGGGAGCAGTGGGGAAGATGGGAGAGGTCTGCTGTGCCATCTGGGTCAGCCTCTTGGCTGGGGATTGAACTCATGCTGCACTGGTTGGCAATAGCTTGATAGTGCTGAGACTTTAACCCCTGTGCCACCAGGGAGGCCCCAAGGCCTGAGGGTTCTTATACAAGTGATTATTTATTTATTGCTTTTTAAAGACTTTTTTTTTATTTTATGCATACAAGAGCTGGAGTACAGTCCAGAGGTATGGGGAGTGAGAGGATTCATTAGAGACAGAGTGGGGAACAGAACAGGCAGATTAACTGAAGTACAGTGCTGAGGGGAGCAGTGGGTGAGACAGGAGAGGTCTGCTGCGCCATGTGGGTTGCTCCCTGGCCATCCAGGGTTCGAACTCACACTGCAGAGGCTGGGGACGGCTTCGCAGGCTGTGTCTTAACCCCTTGCGCCACCAGGGAGGCCCTTATACAAGTGATTTTTTTAGTAGAAGCCAAGAGCTTCCATCAGCCTTGGGTAAAACTGGTCTATCAGGTGAGTTCTACGCTGGGAAGAAAGTGTATTAGGAAGCTTCTGGCTTAAGGGGGGTGCCCTCTGAGTAAGGGGCCTTGGTAAGGACATGGGTAAGGTCATTGGCCTCCAAGCACCCAAGGAACCTAGGAGGGAAGGGAACTCAGTGAGCATGGGGAATACGAAATGGGGAATTGTTTATGGTGGCCAAAGATGAACCTCCCTGACCACCTGTCATTGCCAAAGAGGCCTTCCATGTAGACAATTCACAAGGCAACTGAAGTTACATACCCCAGCTTACCCACCATCTAGTGACCTGGATTTAATCTTCACTTTGGATTTAAGGCCAAAGAAATTATGGGAGCCCCCCAGGAAGCCATCACTGTATCCCTGGAGTGTGCTGTGGGGTCAAAGAGAGCTCTATTATCAGCTCCCATGGAAAAGTACAGTTTCCCATGATTCATGCTTTTGGTCTGAGTTTTGGCCTGTCACATGTGTGGTCCAGGGTCAAGGTCTCTGAGCTTCAGTCCAGGTCAGTGCACTTTTGTTGAACACTTATTTATGTGCTAGGACTGTGTGGGTCCAGGAAAGGGTATGATGATCCACAGATGAGAAAAGGTCACTGTCCTTTCCATTCTGTTCTGTATGAAAAGGAGAGTTCATGTCTTCTGGACAGGTATCAAGTAGGAACGCACAAGGCAATGATCCATAAGCCAAACAGCCCTGCAGAAATGGCAGAACTTTTCATGGTAACATAATAGGGCTTCCCATAATGCTCTTGGAAATATGAGCAAGTATTCCAATAAAATAATGCTGACATTCATATTCATTTTCCTTCTGCACTTTACAGATTGGTTTTTAACCTCTGCCACATCTGGGGACTGCGGAAGTTGTACTAGGTGACTTGTGGATTAGATGCTTTGACATTTGGGGCCTTGCTGACCCTGGGTGACTGTTCCTCCTATGGTTAGCCAATTCCTGGCGATACTAAACTTACCTTCCTGTGATACCCTTCATGTGCAAACCAATCAATTCAGAGCTATGACACTTCTGTGACTTCCTTTATTGGGCTCTCACACTGAGTCCCATTACCCCCCGCCCCAATCAGGTCAGGCACCAGACCACTGGGGGCAGCCCCCCATACTTCAGACCACCCCCCTGAAATTATTCCAGCTAGTCAGTCCTAAGACCACCTACCCTGCCTTGCCTATCCTCTCTCATAGAAACCACAACAGAGGCTCTTGTTCACATTTTCTCCTGCTCCCTCTGCCTTCTCACCAACCCTGGTGCTCCCGGGTGGCCCTGCAAGATGAGCTGTGCCTATTTCTATTATGAACCTCTTCCTTCATGACAGTCATTCCCACATCTGTGTATCTCACCATATTTGATTTAAAACAAATCTTGGTTTTATGGGTGCAGGACATTTGATGTGCACAGCTACAGACATCACATACCAACAGACAGGCAGGGACAGGCCTGTGCTTTGCATCTAGATGTTCAACTTCAACATAGATTTGGGGAGGCAGCAAAGCATGGGGTTAAGAGAGTGAGTTCAGGGTAGAAGGCCTGAGTGTGAAGACCTGGCTAGGTCTCCCAATCCCTACCCAGGCACCTTTAACTTAATTCTTTGACACAGCAGTTTCCTCCTCGGTCAAGGTGGGCTAATACCAACATACCACCTCATCAGGTGGTTGTAGGATTGAATTGGATAATCCATGCAAAGACTGAGCCCAAGGCCTGGTACTCAGGAAACACTCCTAAGCTGAGCTTTATTTTATTATCCCATCATTCATTGTTTATTGAGAAGCAGTACACACTATCAAATTTGAAGTATTTATGTTAAAGCATATCTTATAGACCAAATATGACTGCATTTTAGTTATTTCATATGGTTCAGTCTTGGGAATTCATTGGCCTGTGACATGTTTTGCTGTCTATTTCAATCCAAGTTAGAATTATATTTCAGTTGTGTTACAATTGCATTTGGAGACTTGTGTCCCAAGGTGGTCCCTCTAACTTTGATTTATACAACAAGCTCTGGAAAAGCACTCTACACTCGTGGTTTTAAAATTTCTGCTTTCATTGCTGTGTGTTTATAGCAGTAACAGTTTAAAAAAAAAAAAAATCACACATAATTTCCACACATTCTTTTAGGCAAACAAACACTGTCGCAACTTGAAGTGAAAATAAAGCCTTGCTAGTTAAAAAAAATCCCAGGTATTCAGAATGAAGCCTGCCTATTTCCTTGAAACCCTCTAAAATGTGATAAGTGACAGGAAGCTTCAAAGTGATATTCAGCAGCATCTTAATGAGAGTTGTGATAACAGAAATTCACAAATGATACAACTGCAGCTCAACAGCCAATCAGAGGTCAGTCCTTTAACTAAGTTCATGCACTGTTGTCAGGGGGATAAGTGGATCAGCATCCCATAATGCTCACATCCTGGCACCCTGGAGACTAGGGTGCCTTTCCCCACTTGCATGTGGACACTTAGGATATGCTGCTACCCCAGCAGCTGGCATTATGGCCACAGCACATATATTTTAAGCAAATTCCAAACCACTACTTATAGTCACTCAAGGGTAAAGTTGTGGAAGGAGTGCATAAGCAAGAGGGTATCATTAAATTTCCTATGGAATGGCACTTGGCGTCATAATGGAGCGGTCTGAGTCTACACCCCGCCCCCTGCCGGTGTGATTTTCAGACCCAGTGTTCAGGGCTCAGGCCTGGACAAGGGGCTCTTTGGCTGACTTGGGCCCTTCTGGGAACCTGCCTCCAGGCTCAGGGGCCTAAGTGAAAGTGGCCAGAGGTCAGCTTTGCCAAGCGGACCCTTATACCTGGGCAAAGCAAGATGCACTCAAGGCCTGACCAGGCCTAATTCTACACATCTGAAAGACTTCCCAAACCTCATGATATTAATGTTTAATGAACCAAACAAATAAGTATATGATAGTTCATTGGCCCACTGAATTAAAGAATCTGACCTAAGTGGTACTCCATAGAAAACCCAGCTTGTGGTTCACTGTGGAGGCAGCTTATTAAAATGCAGAATCTCAGGAATCATCTAAAGATTCTAGTTTGGGAAATATGAGGGTGGGGCTGGAGTAGTCCAGTTGGGAAAAAAGCCTCAGGTTCTGATGAAAGAGGTCACAGACTTTGGGACTCAGGCCCCCTGAGCCTGGAGCCAGGTGCCTAGAAGGGGCCAAGTCAGACGAGTAGCCCCTTGCTCAGGCCTGAGCCCTGAACACTGAGTGTGAAACTCATACTGGCATGATCATGTGTGTAGCGGGAGCCTTCTAAACAAAGCATGTATTTTATGCAAATAACATACCACCGAGAATCATCCAGAGCAGAGGAAAAATCCTGGTTAGCCTCAGTTCTGGGACTTGGTGCCATTATTTGGCGGGTTCTAACAGAAATTTGTGGACTCATCTGACTGGGGCAATAGATTCCACCATGGATCCAGAATTACAGAATAGCAACGAAAGTAGCAAAGTCAGCATCATCACCATCAACCCCCGTGTCTCCACCCGCACACCCTCTCACCTCTATGGCTCATCTTTCTGTATTTGTTTTCTTTTGTTTTTTGCCTCCTTCCCTCTTCTCTCCTTTGATCACCCCCTGTCAACACTTCCTTCTATTCCCCCTTTTCTTTGATGTTCTATAAACTGTTGGATCTTTCAAAGTTACTTATTTTATGTTGAATTTTGAGGTGCAGAGCAAACAAAACGCAGGCCTTTCTGTATTGTGCTCCATAATGGGGCTGTGTGCTGAGATGTGTGTTCTGGAATTTCTGGCAATAGGCCTACATTCCCATTTTGCCTGGGTCAAAAGTAAAATTTCATGTTTAAGTCTAATTTAGAGCTGAGGTCTTTGCAGTCAAAGCTTGGGCAATTAGTTATCTGGGTAATTTCAGAAAGGGAGACTTTACTGTTTGGCTTATCCTACTTGACAATTCATCCAATGTAGAAGCCTGGTTCACTGTAAAATGGCACTAGGGTCATAACAGGCAGAAGATCCATGAAACGGATCTATTAAAACATGCTCACAATAGTCCTGTAAAAGGAGGATAAAAATGCAGAAACCAAGGTTCCGGTCTTCATGTCACAACGAAGCCCTGTCTGGCTGTGCGTAGGCTAAGCCGGTTCTTTATTAACTCCAAGTTGTTTCTCACAGTACAGAATTATTCCATCAGCACAGAAATGTGCATTTCAGTGGGACTTAGTGCACTGGCATAAACAGGTGTGGGAGTGTGTTCTTCTCAAGTGGGAGATAACATTTATGAGCACAAAATGCATTTTGGGAACATGAAAATCCAAATGCAAATATGAAAAGCTCATATTCTCCCTCCTTCTCCCTTGGAGATTCTTATGCCCCCATGTGCACGTCTGCATGATAAAAGACACTGTCGCAATTATATGACAATTAAAGCTTACCATTGTTGTAAGAGCGAAAATTTCCTACAAATTTTATGTATTCATAAGTTGGAAATTCCTTTGGGTTCAAGCTGCCTCTGAGAAGATGGCAATAAAACTCTAAATCGTTGTCAGCTGGGCCGTTAAAAGAAAAAGAGGAGAGAAAGGGAACGTGAGCATTGCAGACTCTAGACTAAACAAGTAGCTTTTTTTTTTTTTTGGTGAAAATCACAGGATTTAGTCTACACATGGCCAGGGTATTTCTCTCATTACGACTTTAGAACATGCTTTATAACCTCTGTAGCATAGGGTTTCCCCCCCCGTAGCTTATAGATATTTTGCATTTCATGCTTGGACCCAATTAGTCTTAATTTGCTCACAGATGTCTGTGGTTGGTTATGTCGGCATCAATTAGTTCCAGTTGTTTTCATAGGGTATATTAAAATAAAGCTGCTCTTATAGAGCTGCTCTCTTTAATTTAATCTTTTCATTTTGTTTTGAACTAAAATCAGATGTACAATGGAACAAATTAATCATGGCAAATGGGCTAAGGTTGAGCAAGTCAAGGCATCTTCGCTGCCTCCATCAGGGTATATGCTTAATTAAGTGACACACGGTTCAGCAGGCACCAACACCAGCCTTCTTTCCAGGTTGCCAATTTTGATCAAAACTTTAAAATTCCCCCACACTCACAAATGTACATAAATAATCAGATGACAAACCCAGGGGAGGAGTGTTTGGGATTTTCGCCTAATTACTCAGTATTTAGTTGATTTACATAGATCTAGCATGATCGTATCCTTCAATATAAGATTGTTCACTGATTTTTGCAGTTTATTTCTAAAAGATTTTTCAGTTTATTTCTGAAAAAGAAAAAAGGACTCACTTGTATTACATGCAAAGCAAGTTATTCTCCTTAAACTCTATGCTTTCAAATTTTCCACATAAAAGCTAAATGTCTTACATATCCCAAACTCCAGTTTTAACTTTAAACTTAAACTGTACCTCTACAGATCTTGGAAATGTTCTGAGTCACAAGGAAAATTATTATTAAATTTAGTCCTCCCTACTTAATTCACTTAACCTCCTTTCAAATTCTTTATACCTTCTAAAATGAGTAAAGTTAAACTTACATTTTAAGTATTCTGGGGAGGGGGAATCGTTCACAAGCATATGGGAAGAAAGCATTTTATAAACTTCTGAATGTTCTTGTTCTGGAAGGAAATTTAACAAATTCTGATCCATGACATCCGACTGAAAAAGAAAATAAAGAACAAAGGTACACACTCAACGCAGATGAAAAACCAAAGCAAAAGCAAAAACTGAACTTTCACGACAATTTGGAATTGGTTACTGAAATGAAAAGGTCAGGATTTGATTTCCTGTGAAGACTCTCCAACTATCACTCTGTAACCCTGAATTGTAATCTAAAAGGTTTTACTTGCTCAAGTGCTTCAGTACCAGTGCACATGATTCAAGACAGAAGTGAGAGTCAGATCACTGTGCAGACTCCAGCCCCGGCCTGAGGAGCAGCATCTGTGGACTCTCCTGCATTCTTGAGGAGGGTAGCATGGAGCCCCAGTTTGAGGCTAAACCCTCATCTAAAAAACCCTGAAATTTTGAGGGGTTCCTTTTCTGATCCTTAGTCTGGCAAACATCTGCCTGTTTACTTCTTAAAAATCTCTAATCAAAGGAACTGCACGTTTTCCCCAAGAGCCTGGGCACTGTGGATGCAAAATATAACTTGAAAAATAAATTTAACATAGTCTAGATACAGTCCTGTCCAACAGAACAGTTTGTGATGGTGGAAATGGTCTATAATCTTTGCTGTCCATATGGAAGCCACTAGCCATGCCATGCCACGTGGCTACTGAGGCATTGAGATGTGGCTAATATGAATGAGGACTGAATTTTTTTAAGATATGGGAGAAAAAACTTTTATTCAAGAATTTTTTTTTTAACTAACATTGCCTTTATAACATTGTATAATTTTCAGGTGAGCATCATTATAAATCAGTGTCTGTAGATACTACATTAAGTTCATAAAGGTCCAAATCTATCCTTCACCATATAATTGACCCCTTTGACCTGATTCACCTGCCCTTCTTTCCCTTTCCCTCTAAATGTTTATTTCTGTTTTATTTAGTTTGCTTGTTTTTTTTTTTCTCTTTATACCATGTATGAGTAAAGTCACGTAGTATTTGGATGACTAAATTTTGAATTGTATTTAACTTCACTTATTATAAGTGAAATTTAAATAGCCACATGTGGCTGGTCATCAATATTGGGAGCTCACAGTGGAGAGAGGACTCTGGCATGTCTCTACCTCTTCCTTGGTCTTCTTCAATAAACTCATCTACTCCTACTTCAAACACTCTGTCTACAATGCTTGTGAATCCAGGCAACTCTCTGAGTGCCCTCATTATCTTCCAGCTACCATTTGGATTCACACAAATTACCAGTTATTATTCTCTCACACCCATGTCCCCCTCCCCTGTGCTCTGTCCCTATATATGGCATTGCCATCCCATCACTTGCAAGATACCACGTGACTTCTTTGATTCCCACCCCTTTCCCTCATTCCTCTTCATCTTCACAGCCCATTTCCAAGTGCTGAGAGATTTTCCTCCTTCCAGTTCTCTCAGATCTATTGACTTCTCTATTTCTCTAGCTCCAGGACTCCAGCTCAGACTACCATCCTCTCATCTGGGCAATGAATTGCCAAATTGGTCTTCCCATCCCAACTTTTGCCTCAATCTAAATTATTATTATTATTATTTTTAAAAGATTTATTTATTTATTTTATACAAGAGCCAGGGTACACACCAGATGTGTGGGAGAGTGAGAGGGATTCACCAGAGACAGAGAGGGGAACAGAACAGGCAGACTGACGAATTACACTGCTGAGGGGAGCAACGGGCATGACAGGAGAGGTCTGCTGCATCATGTGGGGCCCTCGCTGGCTGGCTGGGATTGAACCCGCACTGCAGAGGCTGCGGACAGCTGCACAGCATGGTGCTCAACTGCCTGTGCCACCAGGGGAGGCCCCTCAATTTAAATTATTTTTCACCACCTTGCTTAAAACCATCTGTTAGCTACAGCCAGTATCATTCTCAATGGCGAAAAGCTGAAAGCATTCCCATTAAGATCTGGAACAAGACAAGGATGTCCAGTCTCACCACTGCTTTTCAATATAATACTGGAAGTCCTAGCCAGAGCAATAAGACAAGAGAAAGACATACAAGGGATCCAAATAGGAAAAGAAGAAGTCAAACTATCACTATTTGCAGATGATATGATAATATACATAGAGAACCCCAAAAACTCCACAGAAAAACTAATTCAACTAATCAATCAGTTCAGTAAAGTGGCAGAATACAAAATCAACATGCAAAAGTCAGTAGCCTTCCTATACACAAACAATAAATCTGAAGAAAAAGAAATAAAAAAAAAATCCCTTTTATTATCAAAACAAAAAAAATCAAATACTTGGGAATAAATCTAACAAAAGAGGTAAAGGACCTATACAAAGAAAACTATAAAACACTGTTAAAAGAAATAGAAGAAGACACAAAGAAATGGAAAGACATCCCCTGCTCATGGATTGGAAGAATAAACATTATTAAAATGGCCATCCTACCAAAAGCAATATACAGATTCAATGCTATTCCAGTAAAAATTTCAATGTCATTCTTCAAAGAAATAGAACAATTATTGATAAAATTCATATGGAATCACCAAAAACCCTGAATAGCCAAAGCTCTCCTGAAAAAAAAGAAGGGTATGGAGGCATCACACTCCCAGACTTCAAGCTGTACTACAAAGCCATAATCATCAAAACTGCATGGTATTGGAACAAGAACAGACACACAGACCAATGGAATCGAATAGAAAATCCAGAAATAAACCCACAGATTTATGGTCAACTAATCTTTGACAAAAGAGCAAAGAATATGCATTGGAGCAAAGAAAGTTTGTTCAATAAATGGGGCTGGGAAAACTGGGTCACTACATGCAAAAGAATGAAGCTTGACTACTACCTCACACCATACACAAAAACCAACTCAAAATAGATTAAAGAACTAGACATACGATCTGAAACCATAAAATACATAGAAGGAAATATAGGCAAAATACTACATGATATGCACATCAAAGACATCTTTATAGACACATCATCCAAAGCAGTGATAGTGAAGGCAAAGATAAACAGCTGGGACTACATCAAGTTACAGAGCTTCTGCACAGCAAAAGAGACAATAACAAAAACAAAGAGAAACGCCACCGACTGGGAGAACATTTTTGCGCACAACACTAATGATAAAGGACTGATCACAAAAATCTACAAAGAGCTGATGAGACTCAACAAAAACAAAGAAAATAATCCAGTCAAAAAAAAAAATGGGCAGAAGAGCTAAAAAGAAACTTCTCTGAAGAGGAAATGCAAATGGCCAACAGGCATATGAAAAAATGTTCAACATCACTTGTAATCAGGGAAATGCAAATCAAAACTACAATGAGATACCATCTTACACCAGTGAGAATGGCACATATTAAAAAAACTAGCAACAACAAATGTTGGCGAGGGTGTGGAGAAAAAGGAACTCTCCTGCACTGTTGGTGGGAGGGCAAACTGGCCCAACCACTATGGAGAGCTGTGTGGAGATTCCTCAACCTGCTAAAGATGGAGCTTCCATATGATCCAGCAATTTCACTCCTAGGTATTTACCCAAAGGACACAGAAACATCAATTACAAAGAGCATGTGCACCCCTATGTTTATAGCAGCACTATTTACAATAGCTAAGCTTTGGAAACAACCCAAATGCCCAAAAATAGATGACTGGATCAAGAAGATGTGGTACATATACACAATGGAATATTACTCAGCAATCAAAAAAGATAAACTCATGCAATTTGCAGCAACATGGATGGTGCTGGAAGGGATCATGCTCAGTGAAATAAGCCAGAAAGAAAAAGAAAAATACCGGATGGTCTCACTCATAGCAGGAATCTAGAAAACTTAAATAAGAGACCAGGAAAAAGAATAACTATAAGAAAGTAAAAATCAAAATCAACAAACAACTATGAACCAGAGATACTCTATGGGGAGTGGGGGGCAGGGAAAGGAGGGATTGGGGTCAAAATAAGGGGGTTGCAATTGTATGGGGAATATAAAAATAAAATTTAAATTAAAAAAAAAATCTGTTGGCTTTCGATTATTTCCAGAACACAGCCTCAACCTCTCAGTTCATGAATGAAGCGCCACACAACCTTCCCTCTACCCACCCTCTCTCTGCAGCTGGTCCTTTCTCCAGCTTCCCAAACTTTCTTTTCTCCAGTGTGCCAGGTCTGTTCTTCCTTCTGGGCTCCCCGAGGCTGTCTTCTCAAGCCAGAACATTATGTATCTTCTCCTTTTGCTCGGTTACTCATATACATCATGTAGGTGCCTGCCTTGAAACGACCTCCTCTGAGAAGGCACCCATGACCTTGTCCAGACTGGTGCTCTCACCCCTGCTTCCTGGGCACTACACTGTATTGGTTATGCTCTACTCTAACTGGCGGTAAAAGGCATGTCTTTGCCTACATGGTGTGCCTTGTGAGGGATCAGGCTGCACTGTGGCAAAGCAGGTAAGAGCCCCAGAGATAAGGTTTGAAAGTTGGTTCTGTCCCCTCCCAGCTGTACTTTGCTCAGCTGCAAGATGAGGAAGTTGTTGGGGTTAATGAGCAGATCCTTGAGTACGGTTGCTGGTGAAAGGGCACACAGCAAATAATCAATGCTATGCATGCTTAGGTGTTTAATAACCTCTTACGAAATGATGTGAAGTTGGGTTCATTCATGTGTTGACATGTGTACACTGCCCGCCTCTTTCCCACAGAGGATCATTGCTAGAGGGAGGAATCTTGAATGGGATCTGGGGGACAAAATGGTGTCTATCTGGTAGGCAGGTGCTCCACGCATGGGGCAGAGCACACACAGAGGAGGCATTTCCAGTGGAGGGAGAGAAGTGATGGGTGGGGGCATTGCAAGGGGGGCAGGGCCACAGAATACACTACCTCAAAGGAGTCAGAGCTCCATATGTGTGCCAGGAGGAGCCACCGAGAAATCTAAAGGAAGGGCGGTCAGGGCAGTACTTGTATTTTAAAGCAATCCTTCTAGTGGTCTGAAGAGGGAGGGCGCATTGGTTGCCTGGCTAGACATGGTCAGAGTCTGAGCAGGCACAGGGGGAAGGGAGGTGAAGAGGAAGACACACA